CAAAGACAGAAAAAAAATTTGGACAGAATGACAATGTCAGATGCTCTCTCTTCCCTTTTCCTCCCCTTCCAGTGATCTCACTGATGTTCTTACATGCTGCACAATCAAGGCTATGGAATGGACTTGATCAAGCCACTGAGTGGTCATTTGATGCTTCATCTCTCACTGCACATTTCTTCTCATCTCACAACATATTGCGGTACTTCAGTTCGAATACATGAGTTGGAACAGAGGCTTTTATCACAGATTTCCTGGAAAGGGAACTAGTCTTTGAATTTCATAAAAGCACATCATTCCATGGCCTCTTTGATGCTATGCACTCCACCAACTTACTAAGAGCTTAAAGAGAGACTTTCTCTTGGATGTACAAAGACCCTTCTCAGTCACCTGCCTGTTCCAAGTGCCTTCCAGAGCTAGCTGCATTATGGAAGGGTTTCTGCCTGTGATTGTCTCTTACAGGAGTCTTTTCTGTTTCCTTGAACTATAAAGGATGATAGCAGGATACTCTGAAAACTAAACCAGCAGTTCCAGTCTCAGATAGCTTTTGCTATTGTGAAACTCCTGTGCTTGCCACAGAGACAGTCTGTCCTTCTGCCATCTGAGACCCTCCAGTTAAGACTGAGAGGTTGGTTTTTTTTCATTTTCCAAATGACCAAACCTTTGTTAGTCCCACTATATGCATGGAGTAGTCAATTTTTTGACTATTCCATTTCCCATGTCCTTTTGGTTGAAAAGCCTTCAAAGCCATGAAGAGTCGATAAACTGGAACCAGAGAGACACAGGTGAGGAGAGGAAAGAGAGAGGAACAGTAAGGCAATGCATTAGTGTTAAAATGAATGCTGCATGTGGGGACTGAAAGGCTGTTCTCCCACTGGTACCATGATTCTTCAGAACATCAAGGCACCAGAAGCATCTTCCAAACCCCTTTTGTTGCTTTCTCCTACCTGCTTGCATTTCACCAAATGTGGATGCAATTTTTCCCGTTTGATGCTGTGCCAGAAGACCATCTTATCTCGATTAAAATGCTCTAAAACACTTTAAAAACAGATAATCTACATCACATGGTTAGTGTTCTATGTCCACTTTGGAGCCTGAGTTCACTGAAACTGGACTGACTCTCACTCTCCGTTTACTACCATGTTAACAACTTGCTGCATTTATGACAATCCTCCAAACTCCCATGCTCTTTATCAGCTGCAGAGCTGTACCAGAGAGTTGGAATAGCAGGAATAAATATTATTAATGTCCACTACTAGCTTGAAAAACTAGCTTGAAAGCAAGTTACCTTCTCCATGAATGCTGTTGGGTTGCAACTGATAGCCTGAAAAATACATCTTTCTTAGCAAAAGTTGTGTCCAAATAGAGCAACCACCACGCTGTGTTGTCACCAATTTGTCTGCCCAGAACTCTCTCACACACTGCTGTATATTCAGTGACAGAAAAAAATGGAGTTATTTTAAAAAGAAGACAAGCACTGCTATTGTACAGCCTAGTTCAGAGTCCCATATCTTGAGCTGATTCAGCTTATCTGCTTTTCTATACCTTTGACAAATGCATGTCTTATATCATTTTTTCTTGCCTTCCTCCATATGCCATACTGCTTTTCCTCCATGTATCTTATCTAGAAATAATGTGCTATTAATCAGCCGAAGACACCCTTCACTGCCAAGTGTTCCTCAACTGATTTTTCATCAGCACAAGTAGTTACTAGTTCCAGCATTCCTCCCACATGCTGAAGGCTTGGTGGGGAGGGAGGAGGGATGGCAAGGAGGTTAAAGACTGCCTCACCACATAAATACTATCAGGGACCTTTATACCAGCCTGCCAGCTTGCTGTAATGCTAATGTTGCTGTTTGTTCTCAACAAAAGGAACATGGTGGGAGGAAAGTGGGGCTGCACCCTGTCTTATTTTTTAAGTTAATAACCTTCATGCTCTTCCTTTTATCTGATTAATCTGGCCAGGTGCCTGTTCAGTAGTAGCTGAAGCTTAATACCTGAAACAATGTGTGGATATGCATTGTGCCAGTAAGGCTTGCCCAACAATGCACATTCTGTCATGTTTTCCCATGCCTTGTGTCAATATCTCATTTTATGTGCAAGCCCCCAGAGCAGGGGATAGGAAAAAAAGAGAGGCACGGAGGGAGAGAGGGAGGGAGGGAGGGAGAAAGTTAGAGGGAGAGGGAGAAGAAAGAGAAGGAGAAACGAAAGTCGGGAAAAATTACATCCCTTGGGAACATCAGCTGCTACAAACTCACCCACTCCTCACCATGAAACGAGCTGTGTGCGGGCACAGGTGGGTCCCATTCTCTGTTACTAGAGCACAGCCTACAAACAGGGGCTAAATGAAGACTTTCATTGCTGTTCCCTGTTTTCATTGGAGCAAGGCCATCATAAACATTTGCAGGTGGCTTGGCCATAGTCTGACACTAAAATATTTGTGGTTGTGATAAAAATCAGAATATTGCTACAAGATGGTTCTATATAACCTTCAGGGCTTGATCCTGCTCTTACAGAACTCAGTGAGAGTTTTACCCAGTTTCTCTCTGCTGGTTTTATTGCTCATTAAAAGGCATTTTCCCTGGCACAATTCTTCATGGTAAAGACTCATCTACCCTTTGGGGCAAATTCAGATGATTTCTAAAAAAGGGAAACTCAAGCAAAACCCACTGATTTGAGGACCTCAGCATTTGGGCTTGTTAAATAGCTAAACAACCTCAACTTTGCAAGGCTAAATCAAAACCACCAAACTTTGAAGACCTCAAATATTTTCTGAATTCATCTGATCTTTTTTTCAGTTGTCCAGTTTGTATTCCTCATGAATGAGTCGTGGATATAATTCTTAGGACATTTAGAAGGATAAGATGAAGATAAATGGAAATGACAAGATATGTTCTCTGAATAAGTAAAACAGACACCACAGGGAAAAGACTGAAGGAAAAGAAGACAAACAAAGATGCTCAAGACTTTGGCAAGTAGAGGAAGTTGAAAATACAGCAATTATCTCCTAGGACACACCATGAACAAAAAACAAAACCTCCTAGGAAGAGGGAAGAATGGGGAACAGAGTATGCTAGAGGTCACACCATAAGTCTCATTCACACACCAGCTCACACAGAGACTAAAATGCTGACAATTGCCTCCCAATAAAGCAGCTTTAGACTCAGAGTTAGGAAGCATTTGTGTGATTCAGTCACAGGGAAGAATTAAGATATGTCATGGCAAAGTTTCCCAAGTGAGACACACCACTGACTAGGAAAAGGCCTTTTTATCCTCAACCCCACCAACTTTGGAGATTCTAATCACCATGGCCCTGAACCAACACAAACCTAAAACCTGACTGACAGGGTCTTGCAAAACCACATGCAGTTTTTTTCTCATTATATAGAAACAATTGTTTGGAAGCCAAGTACAGTCTTACATAAAACACCTCACCACTGAGTATTAAAAGTTGTTTGGGGTTTTTTTATGCTTTTAATTAGGATCATAATTACCACTAGACCTATTAAGTCACAATTTGAACAGGAGCTTAATCATCCTTAACGCAAATAATGGCATTAGTTAATGTTTTTCTTTCTAAAACTGAAAAAGAAACTGTTTCTTCCTCCCTCCCTCTCTCCCAGCCCCCTCTCTTTGAACAGAATGGGACATATATAAGACAACAGCTTTGCTGGATTCACAGGCAAATGGTATTGCATGTGAAATCTCAGTGAACACTGTGTTTTGACAAGAGGTAACATATACAAAGGGCACAACTACCAGATAGCTTTACGTGACCCATCCTACCAGATTTATGTATTAAGAACCAAATACTGAAATAGTAATAAAAAGGAAAATAGAGGAGCTTGGCCAGGAACACAAAACTAGGGCAGCAGATGGAATCTGTGTTCTGTGTATGGCTGGGTAGCCCAGAGCTCAGAGCCATGTGCCATCCCAGCTACCATGGGAGATATTGAGCCTGTCCCTACACCAAAAATCTTGAAAGAAAACTCAAGAATAACTAGAATTTCAGTTTTCAATGCCAGGATTTCACTTTATGATTTTACTTTGAAAAGACTGAAAGTTGATAAACAGTTATTTAGATAATGACCAAGGACAGTGACTGCTTTTGCAGATATCACTAATTGATGTGACCAAGTTACAATTGACAGATAATGAATCTATACTGCTGCTTCTTTCTTAGTCCACTAATATATCTTTTTATCCATACATTTTCATGTATAACACCACCCCCAAATTCTCAGAGCTGTGTGATGAAAAACTGTACCCTCCAGCCATCAGAGCAGTTTCTGTACAATTAAAAACACGTTATTATGACTTATGAGGATCTCATACTTACTGGAAGTAACCAGGTGTAAACATATACTAAACTTGGGTGGTTTTGTCCATACAGTTCTCCAGGCATTAGCACTCAATTGGCATTCAAGCTAATACAATAAGCATCCATACTGTCAATTTATGTTAATAAATATGGATCCATCATCACAAATTGAGCAGTTATTTACACTGTGCCAGACTCTATTTATCTTGATGGTCTTTTTGTCTTCCAGCATTCCTCATTCCTCATAGGAAATAGCTCAAACCCATAGAAAACCCAGAATTCCCAATTGAAGGAAGTCAAAGGATCAGCTTCGCAAACACTTTGTCTTTCTTCCCAGAGCAGTTATAGAAAAAACATGCACTATGATCATAAGAAGATTAAAAAAAAACAAACTGGCAGCAGAAAGCAGGACTTCCCAGTAAGTACAGCATTCTGTCCTTTTTGAACCAGTGTGCCATATCTGGAGTAACCTGGCCATTACCCACAGTCTGCAACAGGTGCTGCAGGGGTCCTTGCTCATCCTGGCAGGGTCAAGTGCAAACTCTGTAACTTCAAAAACCTCTAGAACAATATCTGGGCCTGCATGCAGCTGGACCTTATGAAGCATGAGGACCTGAGGACATCTGCTCCTACAGGCAGGAGCCAGAGAACCAGAGAAATGAGAAAATGGAAATGGGCTCACCCAATCTGCCGATTTGTGGAAGGTGCTTGTGTAATGACGGAACTGGACTGTGGAGACGGCATGGCTTGCTGAATCACAACGCTGGTGTCATGGTTTGGCATCCTTGTGTTTGTTAGCTGGTGGGACCCAGGTCCTGCCATTGCTCCTCCAACTGTGTTATGCATGGAGATATTCTGTGAGAAGAAGGGAAATGGGAGGTGGTGGAAGAAAATGAAAATAAATAAATAAATAAATGTCTTATCTTGGTTTTCTGTTCTACAGGAATTCCATTTGGAATCCGAAAGTATCAACAACATGAAAAGTTACTGGCTCCTGGTAAATCCCAAGTCAATAGATCTTATTATAACCAACAACAATAAAGAAATGAAAAATAAATATTTACTTTCACAGGTGGAAAAATACCCACAGGTTGGGTAAAAATACCCATAGGTTCACTAATCACGCTTCTGTGATTCTGTCTTGTGATATATAATGGGGATATTTAGCACATATTTCTCCTGACTGAACATGATATGAGCACATGACACCTTGATTTAGTGCATGGGCTGTTTACTGTGTACTGCCTCTGCTTAGACTGACGAGCAAATGAAGTTTTACAGCCCCAAACTAACAAAAAGTACATGGCACATCATGAAACAGCCATTTCTATTGGCCTCCACAGATTTTGTAGAGCAAAAATATCCCAGAGGCTTAGAATAACACTGTATTTCACCACATACAACCTTTGCTTCAGGTTACTAAGAGCTCTTAAAAAGTTCTTAAAACCAAAAAAACAGAAGTTCACAGATAACATATCCACTGAGCAAACAACCAGCGAGAGACCAGGATACTGCTAAGGAAGGAGCCATGGAATAGGACTTCTCTGCTGTTATGCCTGTACACACAACACACACTGCTGCTAAACCGCAGGGTTTGACTTGGCCTGCGTTTGAAAACAAACAAAACTCTCAAGCCAGAGATAAGCCACAATGTATACACATGAAAAATACGGTAACCTTGAGAGCATTATTTTTCCTATCAGGCATCAACGTGTGAATTGTTAGCAGCAAGAGGAAAAGAAACTTTCCATTGTCACCTCATGCTAGGCTGAGGAAAACGGGAACAAAAAACCCCTTATAAACACTGCCACTAAGACTCACACAAAGTACCTTCCTAACCACTGCAATACTCAGGATTAAAAAACAAAGTTCTATTTCATTCAAAATTACAATTTATGAGTCAATTTGTCTAGGAAACATATACAACCACTGCAAAATATTGGTAGATAAAGCTGGTGGGAAAGGAAACTCGGAGCTCTGATCAAATGTGGAGAACAGAAGAGGCACCCAACATGTTGAATCCCAGACCTAAAGAAAGACTGTATTATGGGCCAAATAAAGAACTACACCTCATGGAAAAAGAGAGCAAATAATTAGAGGACCCCAATTGAAGGCATTAGCTGTTATCTCCTTATCTCCCAATGTTATATATTTCATGTGATTTCCCAGAACAGTGTGGGCACAGGGATCTCTGTTTCTTTTACAGGAGTTGTTCCAGTCTTCATTAACACATAAAGAGGCAGAAGTGCTGCCTACAGTTGAATGGTCACACCACCTCACCTGGAGTGAAGAGGACCCACCTTTGAGTTCCTCTTACAGTAAATAATTTACACATTATGAATCAGGTATTCGCTTAAGGAGCATGAATTGCAAGAAGAAGCCAGACCAAGAACCTTAACTGTAATATTTCATAGCACAGAAGAATGTCATGACCATCGGGCAATAACCTTGGATATACAAAAACTTCTCCAAAAGAAGTTCTCCCTCACCTAACACATTCCATTAAAATGTCACTTCTTCAACACATTACTGGTTTCTGATGAAAAGCCTGTTCCGTTTTAAAAAAATATATACGGCCAAATCTAGCTCAGGATTCAAACCTGGTTTTTTTATCATGACCAGATTTTGCAAAACCAGATCTAATATCTATCCATGTACAGTCAATATTTTAATGCTATCTCTTCCTAAAATGATCTCTAAAGGAACCATGTATAGTATCATGAGCCTGCAAGGCCTGGGAATGGACAGGATGGAAATCTATCACAAGCTTTAGACAAGTGGTACCCTGGCACTTGCCCAGAGTTTTACTGGACTTTGTTGTACCATAGCAGGGCAGAACTTAAAGATTTAATATGAGATTCCTGTGCTCCTAAATTAGATATGTCCTTTCTCTTTTCCCTCTTTTTCAATTTTCTCCTATAATTACAGAGCTCTCTAAGGTACGAACAGATTAATTATGATGGATATGGAAAATTTTTTTTGCCCATAAGACATTGTAGTTGTTATCTTAAATGCATAAACTTCCAACGTTTCAAAATTTTATCAATTTCCAGTTAGCTACATCTTTTCAAAAAGTAGGTTGAGTATGTGGTGCATGGAAAGTAAAAGCAGAGTGAAAGCCTGTCAATGCTTCTGGATGTCCATTGTTCTCAGTAATGCAAGCACTGCTGTTGGGCAAGCGTACACCACGCTGCCAAGTGAAAGCCTAAGGTTTCCCAACAAAAAGTCAAACTCAGCATGACTCTAACATTCATAAGAAAAGGATTTGGCAATCTCAGAATAATTTGCATCAGTGAGATGCTTGTGAATCTACAGAGGAGTTCAAGGAAGTTCATCCTTTAGGGACAGTAAGCATTCTCCAAAAGGCGGCAGGAAGGTACTGCACAGCAGATCTGACACTAAGCCCAGCTGATCTCACTGTGTGCATCATGATGTGCAGAATGACTCTGTACCACCAGCACAGCAAGGCTAGGCTCATTGCATGTGTGATGCAGCCAGTCTTCAGACCTCCCTAAATGGTTTCGCTGCACTGAGCTCTGCATCTGGTTCTGAATGGATCTGGATGGGATATTAACAAGCTCCTTGCAGACTTGACTTTGGGCCCTTATAGAGAGAAGAAGAACTCAGCAACATTGACTGAAACTGAGACCTCCACTTTATATATTGAACTGTTGTTTGCTACCAGCTCTACTTTTAAGGAGTTCTTAGTGTTCTTCTACCAGGAATCTGTGAATAAAATCTCCTTTGACTCCCCTTATCATAATCCTCCAGGTCTTAAGCCCACGGTAAAGATTATTTGATGCTCGGTGTGGAGCTCCCAGCATTCCAGCTCGGAGAAGTCTACATGAGCAATGACACAGACTGAGCTCTCCCACTGCTTTTAACATTCCCAAGACCCATCCATACTCTGAGAGTGTATGACACCCATAACTTCTCCCCAGTTACACTTGGAGTTTTCTCAGGTATTTTCTCTACTGTGCTTAAGCATCAGAAGAGGGCATATGAGCTTATACTATTATCTATTTTATAAACTGAACCTAAGCATTCACACAGGGAGCAGGCCACCCATATGTCAGGAGCTGCAGAGACACAAAAGACATGCTCTTAAGATTAATTTTGTGAATCTTAATTAAGATCCAATATATGAAGAGGAATTTATGTCCTTTAGGACTAAGTTGCATTCTCACTGAAGTTTCCAGTCACTCCCAAGGAAGCAGAAATTAGAATTGTAACACTGAAGAGCATTTATAGAAATGGTCCCCTCAACCATGGGCTCATGGAGTATTACTCATGGAGTATATACTCTTCATCAGTATTTAACATTCAAACAAATAAACCCAAAAGCAATAAACCATATCCACAAGCCATTTTTAAATCAACGTGTTCATTCTCAACCTTTCCAGATGCAAGAGGAAAGCATACAGATCATCATCATATTAACTTCTCCCCAGTTACACTTCATGGCCCATTTTTCTTCAGACTTTGAAGAAAACATTTGAGCATTTTCCTCCCACGTGCAACCATTTAAGTTTGGATAGACAACACACTTCTTTTTTCTAAAGGCTAAAAACTTCTTGAAGTCATGCTTCCATGTTCTGGTGGAGAGGATTACACATCACTCCACAAGAACACACACCCAGTTGGCAAGCACAGCAGAGAAATGACAGCTACACAAACACAGGCAAACTACACCCAGACAGTCACCAATTCCCCTAAACCCTGGTTCTTCCAGAGAAACACTCATCCATTTCACACAGCACCACCTCACATCAACCACCATCTACTGAAATCAAAGGATGAAGAACACTGATCCATCCTTCACAATCTACTGTAATATTCTAGCTTCAGGGTTTGTTTGTGGTTTTAAACTATAAGATCTAGTTTCTGAACCAAAGTCTGTTTTTATTTTCCTACTCTTATTTTTCAACTGAGGCTTACCAAGAATTGCAAACACTAGTTTTACATGAACTGCAGACTATTCAGGATTGTTCTGTGTAACCTTTTAGATCAATAGAGGTGTAACCTACAACTAATTGTACATAAAGGTATTTTGCAGATTGAGTGTTATATAAATTCTCAAGTCAGAAGGTATTTTCCATTAAAAACTGAAATAAAAAAGCAGTCAATTTAAACACAAACAAAACCATTTTTGCACATTTTTGTTTTATGCAAAATATCATGTATCCATATTTTCCTGCACAGCAACTTAAAATGTTTTCCCACAGTTCAAGAAAAAAGCATCAGCTTAAAAAAAATTATTGAGAGAAATCAAATATACAACAGTACTTTTGAATTTATACAGCCTGTCCTCTCAATGAATGCATTTTAGCAAGGAAAAATATTCTGAGACAATACACATTTAAATGGCAGCTTCATGTGCACTTTTAAGAAGTGTAAAGTCATGTCTTGCCTGATTACTGACATCCTAACTTCATAATATATAAAAGACACATGAGTGGAAGCTTCCAGTGACACACTCACTCACTGCACATGCTGCTTACACAACCTAAGAACCTGCTGGCTTAAAAACATGGAAGCCATTGTTGTAAAGAAAATGATACATTAAATGTGGCAAATAAGGGCAAGCTTCAAAATTATTTTCATCATATATAATCTCCATTAAAATTACTGAGCCTCTGTGAATTCCCTCCTGACAGAATAAAAAGATAATTTGAAAACAAAAGTTAGCAAGTCTCCCCAGAAGCAGCATCAATTCATTTATTTTCTCTTGACTCAGGTCAGAATGGAAGGAAAACACCCTCACACCAGCCCATCACAACTGTTTCATCTGTTACTGGCATGCAAAATCTAAACTCCTATAAGCACAGAACGAAGCTTGCTGCCCACTCAGGGCC